TGGGGCCCTCTGAGTGCCCTCTTGGAGCCCTCTTGGGCCCCTGGTTGGCCCTAGGAGGGCCCCAAGAAGGCCCCAGGAATTATGTACCAATCCAGCGGCCGCTGGTACATAATTCCTGGGGCCCTAAGAGGGCCCTCTGAGGGCCCTCTTGGAACCCTCTTGGGCTCCTGGTTGGCCCTAAGAGGGCCCCAAGAAGGCCCCAGGAATTATGTACCAACCCAGCGGCCGCTGGTACATCACTCTTGGGGCCCTCTTGGGGCCCTCTGAGGGCCCTCTTGGAGCCCTCTTGGGGCCCGGGTTGGCCCTAAGAGGGCCCCAAGAGGGCCCCAAGAGGGCTCCAAGAGGGCCCCAGGAATTATGTACCAACCCAGCGGCCGCTGGTACATAACTCCTGAACCCTCTTGGGGCCCTCTTGGAGCCCTCTTGGGCCCCTTGTTGGCCCACATGATGGCTCCAAGAAGGCCCTAAGAGGGCCCCCAAACGGGCCCAAGAGGGGCCCAAGAGAGGCCTCAGAAACCGCTAGTAGGTGTCATCGATCAGCGCGTCTGGATGAGACCTCTCAGTGGTCTCTGGGGCGCGTCTTGGAGCCCTCTTGGGGCCCTCTGGAGCCCCCTGGGTGCTCCCAAAAAGGTTCCAAGGGACATCCGAAGGGGTGGAGGGGGAGTTGGACGGGGAGTGGAGGGGGAGGTGGAGGGGGGGCTGAGGTGGGTGGTGGAGGGGGGGGTGGAGGGGGGGTGGGGGGGTTGGTGGAGGGGGAAGGGAGAGGGAGAGGGAGAGGGGTTTGATTAGGAAACTGGAAGAGGTTTGACGACCACGACGACGACGACGACGACGATGACGACGACGACGATGACGGCGACAACCACGATGACGAGTGGGCGCCTTGGAGTTCTCGTGGGCCGTCTTGGAGGCGCCTTGGGGGCCTTTTGGACCGTCTGGAGGCCGTCGTGGGGCCGTCTTGGAGGCCTCTTGGGCGCTCTTGGGGCCATCTTGGGGGTCTCTTCGGCGGCACTGGGCCGTCGGCAGGCCGAAAACGTTAAAATCCATCAAGAGCCCACGGGAAATCAGCTGTCTTGGCCTCTTCGGGCCTTCCTGCAGGTCCCCTTGGAGGCTTCTTGGACTGCATTAAAAGCCTCTTGGGGGCCTTTGGGGCCGTCCTGGGCCATCTTGGGGCCATCTTGGAACGCCTCGGTTGCATCTTGGGCCGTCTTGGAAACATATTGGGGCCGTCTTGGGCTCTCTTGGAGCGATCCTAGCCGCCTTGGAGGCATCTTGGTGGCCATCTTGGGCCATTTGGGCCGTCTTAGTGGCGATGTGGCCACACCTTCTGGTCCTTCCGAGGGCAGGCGGTCTGGGCCGAAGGCCACTGGGAAGGGTTTGAAAATAAGAAGAGCAGCAAAATGTCTGGCACGCCGTCCACCCCTGTGGCAAGCACAGGGGGCGGCGGATCCAAGACGCCTACGGCGAATCACCGCCGCCCCCAGCCTTTTTGAGAAGCGCCTATGTGGCCAAACGTTGGGCCCCAGCTTGGCCAAGCTATCTGATTATGTATTCCCCCAGCCGCTCCGGAAACTCTTCGGGGAACACTTGGGGGAGGCTGAGGGGGAGGATCAGGAGAGGGAGGAGGAAGAGGAGGAGGAGGAGGAGGAGGAGGCCTCTTGGGAGCCTCTTTGGGCACTCTTGTGGGCCTCCTGGAGGCTTCCCGGGGGCCTCTTGGAAGCCTCTTGGGGGCCTCCTTAGGCCTCTTGGGGGCCATGGGGGCGTCTTGGGGGCCTCTCCTTGGCCGTCTTGAAGCGTTCCTGGCCCGTCTGACGGGTCTGACGCCGTCGGAAGCCATCTTGGGGGCCTCTTTGAACCGATGTGGGGTCCTCTTGAGGCGCTTCAGGGCCGTCTTGGAGGCCATCTTGGGCGTCTTAGAGGCCTCTTGGGGAGGAGGAGGGGGAGGAGGAGGAGGAGGAGGAGGAAGGAGGAGGAGGAGGAGGAGGAGGAGGAGGAGGAGGAGGAGGAGGAGGAGGAGGTTGAGGAGGAGGAGGAGGAGGAGGAGGAGGAGGAGGAGGAGGAGGACAGGAGGAAGAGGAAGAAAAGGACTGGGAAAAGCAGGCGAAGAGGGAGTAGGAAGAGAAATAGGGAGGAGGACCAGGAGAAGGAGGCAGGGGGTAGGAGCGAGGAGACACAGTCGGACAGCGAGAGACAAAGTCGGAGCAACCCCAAACCCCCAGAGTCTGGGGGCGCCCAAGAGTCTGAGCAGCACCTTTTTCAGATTCCGTTCTTCCGTCGTATCTCCACGGAATCTCCTTTAGTGTATATTTGTATGAGCCCATCTTGTTGCACGACGCGCCACTGGAACGGGCAAAGTGACCCATCGGCATCTTGACATTGTTTACAATGTAAGATAACATGTCCAATAGGTTCACCGGCTTGAACAGCAAATATGGATTTGCCGAAGAGGACATTATTTTTTGGATTGCCAAACGTATTGCGTACTCTTTCTTCGAATGTTTTCCCCATTCCAACCTCATCCCGATCATTTGTGTTCATTGGGTCGCCAATAGGAAACCACCGTTGTGCCGCTAATATGGAACCATATTCACTTTCTTCTTCATTGATGTCTTCGCCCGTAGGTTCCTCTTTGATGTCTCTGCTCGCAGGCTCCTGGGCTGCGGAGCTCGTATTCCGAGCAGAGGCGCGCGGGTCCGCCGAACCACTTCCGCAGCCACTGCTAGACGATCAAAGGCCTTGGCCGTACGTCGCACCATGGCCTTTCACGGCGATCTCCAGATCGACTTGTTCTTGTGGCGACAACCCGCGTTTTTGCGATATGGCTCACAACCGCTTGGCCGTATTTTTACCCATTGCTGATCGGATGTGCAATGGGAGATCTTCGCCCCCGTAATCTGGATTTCCTGGATAGGGCGTCGTTCCGTACCAGGCCTGGCAATATAATGCGGCGGGTGCTGGTTCGGTGCGTGCATGTGCCACGCCCAGCTGCCCTCCGGTCCAGCTGTTCCCATTTCGATACGCCCGTTCATATCTCTGTTCGTACTAATTCCAAGTATTCCTTATCGAAGCTCTCCTCCCGGCGTCTCTTCCGTTGCTCAAAATATCGTTGCGCCAGTACTTATTGTGTGTAGCGCTGGGCGGTTATTTGTTCACCAGTTCCTTCACGTTGAGGCCCTTCTTTCCGGTACCGATCAATTTGCTGATTGCATTCTGCCATGTATTCTTGTTGCGAGAAGTTTGGGCTGTAATGCGTGAACTAACGCATTTTTGCTTTTGAAAATACATCCCATGGTGCAGCAATCGTTCCCACAACAAGTGAAACGAAATAAGCAAGCATATTCATATTCAATGCAAGTATGGAAGACACTTCAAGTAATTGAAATGTGAAGTATCCTTCGGCCGAAATGGCTACGGAATGAAAATTGTTTCAAACATGTCTTCCGTTCTTACGTGCATGTGCGTCCACATCTGCATTCCACGTTATATGCATTACCACATGCTGCCCGCCTATGGGGAAGAACGGCCCCATTCACGTAATTAGTCTGACGGTTTTTGAACAGTGTGTCGGCCCACTCCAGTCCGCAGACGTTTCATGGTGTCTGGAGCGCGACGCGGAAGAGCACCGGGAGTGGGCCGACGCATTGCTCAAACTTCTAGGGTTCTGCGAGATACCACAGCCACAGCTCACCCACCGAACAACCTTGGGGACCTCTCGTCTAGACCGGGCGTATGTGAATACCCACTTGGTGGAGCAGCTATTCTCTTCGTGGAGTTGCGCTGGGCTGGGGGCCAGGCTTCTCCACGCATCGGCCGATTGAGATATCGCGCCGCGTGCCGCGGCCCGAGGCGACGCGGCGCCGGCCTGTCCCGACGGCCCCATCCAGAACGCAGGGGTGGGATGCACGAGTGGAGCTGCGATGGCCGACACGTCGAGCCCCCGCCTCCTGCTGATGAAGCGCGCCATATCCCAGATCAGCTTTGAGGACAGCATTCGGGGGTCGATTGGCGAGGCCGCAGAACCAGCGGACAGGCTAGGCGCAGCTATCCGGTGCTTGCGGGCCGCGGAGGCTGGCAGAGTATTGGCTGTTCAGCGTGCGCTCCGGGAGCTTCCGGACATCTCGCGACGAGTCGTTGTCCATGACCTCCTCGAGGGCACCACAGAATCCATCGGCAGCCTGAAAGAGTACATCTTGGAGCTGGCGAGGGCGGACATCCGAGGCGACGCGGAGGCGCTTCACCGTGATCTACCCGATCTCTCGGACGCGGCTGTTGCGGCCCGGCGGTGTTCCATCGCGGATAAAATACGTCGTCAAGAGCCGGGTTCTTCTACGCAGCTGAAGGCCACGAGGGGCAGGTGGGCTGGTGACGACAGACCCGGCGGCCATCGCCCAGGCTTTGGCGAGCCACTGGTGCACGACATTCCAGGAGAGACACATTGACGACGCCCGGTTGCAGAGTTGGCTCCGCGAGGCGGCGCCTACATGGCAATCGTCGCCGTTGCCTCGGGGGGAGGGCCGTTGGAAGGTTGCCATGGAGGACGTGGAGTGGGCCATTCGCACTGCCAAGAACACGGCGCCAGGCCCAGACGGCATCCCAGCGTGTCCGTGGCAACGACTTGGGCGCCTGGGGGTTGACGTGTTGTTTGACGCGGCCGCAGACCCTGAGCGCGACGCTGCGGCGGGCGACATCCGCGAGGCGTACAGCGACGACGACGACGACGGGATAGACGCTTTCAATATGAGCATACTCTGCTGCATTCCCAAAAAGACGGACGACGTCGATGCGGTCGCGGGCGCAGCGTGCGCCCCGGGAGCCACGCGGCCCCTGTCGTTGGCTGATGTGTCTATCCGTTTACTTGCCTCAGCATACAAGCACAAATGGGAGCAATGTTTGGGCTCTTGGGTCTCAGCACCGTAAAGAGGATTCTTGCCAGGGCGTTCGATGCTGCTCAACGTGCTAGAGATCGAGGCGAAGGCTCTCTCAACAGCAGCCACGCGCAGGCAGGGGATGGTAGTCTTGATAGATTTCAAGGCTGCGTTCCCAAGCGTGGCGCGCCGCTTCCTCACAGGCTGCCTCCAAGGCTTCGGGGTGCCGAGCGGGCCGCTCTCCGTGCTCCGGGCTCTCTACGACGGCGGGGCGCGCAAAGTGGCGGTCGGAGGCTCTCTTTGGCCAGGCTTTGAAATGCGATCGGGAATCCGCAAGGGCTGCCCCCTCTCGCCCCTGATCTTCGCAGCGTGCATGGACTTGCTTCTTCGCGTGCTGGAGGTCCGTTTGGGCAACGCATGCTTGGCACACGCATTCGCAGACGACGTTGGCGCGGTGCCGGAGGACGTGGAGACGCAACTTCCGATTTTGACGGCAGTTTTGGAGGAGTTCGGGCAGCTGTCTGGCATGCAGGTCAACGTCGAAAAAACAGTGGGTATCCCGCTGAGCGACGACGCGCACGCTGACATGCAGGCGTTGATCGCGCGCGCGGTGCCGGGGTGGGGCGCCTTGCCGCCCCGCTCGGAGGCAACGTACCTGGGTTGTCTCATTGGCCCTGGCAAAGTCGACAAGACTCGGGGGAACGCCGTGGCGCGGTTTCGTGACCGCGTGGCCGGCCGGCAATGGTCGGCACTCGGGCTGCACTTCGCCACTTTTGTATACAACGCCTACGCCTTCCCGGGCCTGAGCTTCACTGCCCAAATCACCGACGTGGACGAACGTGTCCAGCAGGCAGAAGAGTGGGCTCTCCGTCGCGCTGTTCCAGGACCGGGAGGATGCTTCGTGGCATTTGGACACGCTGGCCGGGATGCCTTGCGCCTTCGGAAAGTTGGCCGTCTCGGCGCCGGTGGCCCAGCTCCGGGCGGCCGCGCATGAGACCCGCGGCTTCGGAGCAGGAGGCCTCCACAGGCTTGCGCGGCGAGTTCGCGACGAGTGGTCGCAGTCTCCATGCATGCTGCGCGCGGCAAGGATGTTCAATTGGTTGAGCTGCTCCTTCCCGATCGTGCTGCAACGCAACGAGGGCCACCTCTGCGGCCGTGGTATTCGCATCGAGGACATCGTCGCCGAGCTGGCGGGCGCGCCCCTGCAGCCCCTGACGCTCGACCACTGGCAGGCTGGGCGGCACCGCTTGCAGGCGACTGCGCGAGCGCATCTCCGCAGATTGGACACGCCAGCAATGGACATGCGCGCGCGCCACAAGCTGGGGCTCGCTCGCTGTCCTCCCCCAGGCCATGCCCCGCGCGTCGTGGCCAGCAGGTTCCTGGAACGCGCCCCGCTGCTGCGGAACCAGGCCCCGCCGAGAGCGCGCGCGGCTGCGTTTCGCACAGCGTGGAACGCACGGTGCAACGCACGGCGGCATCAGCAGCGCGATGGCCCACGCAATTTCTGCATGCTTGGTTGTGGCGGGATGGCGCAGGGCAGCTTGGAGCACTACGCGAGGTGCCGGGTCGTCCGGCGCGCCCATGCCACCGCGCTGAACATCACGGATGAATGGCTTCTCCCGTGGTGGCTTGGCGCCCGCGACAACCAGCGCAGCGACCGACTGCTGGCGTTGGGGGCGATCGGCGCCCACGCCACGTATCGCGCCACGAGCGCAGCCCGTCGCCAACGTGGATTTTCGGTTGCCGACGGCGAGCGGGCGCTGCAGCAGCCCATCCGCGAGGCAGTTGGGGGCCGCGCCAGGGCCGAGAGGGTCGTGGCCGATGTCTGGCGCGACCGGTCGGGGGCACGGCGATGACCCGAGCGGCCTCGCAACAGAGCGCCGGCGGTCTAACCTGCCGCGGCGCTGGCGGCTCCTGCGCGCCGGGGGGGGGCGTAGAGTCATGAAGTCGTGCCTCGGCGTCGATGGCGCGTTCGTTGTCTTCGCCATGGGCGCGGGCGTCCTGGCCCCCGGCTCCGCCGCAGCTCATTGCCCGTCTGGCCCTTCTTGACCAGGGGGCGGGCTGTTCGCGTTGCTCCTGGCATACTCCTTGTCCGACCTCGCCTGAATGCGTTTGCCGCAGCCCAGGCTGCGCCTGCCGCCGTCCGTCCGTGGACTATGCCGCGTCTTGTTTCCTTTGCTCCTCCCCGTCTTCCTCCTCCTCCTCCTCCGCCTCCTCCTCTTCCTTCTTCTCCTCCTCCTCCTCCCCCCCTCCTCCTCCTCCTTCTGGCCCTGACCATTTGTGGATTGCGACGGCAGGCGCCGCGGCTGGCAGCCAGGCGGCGCCAGCCACAAGCCGCCCCCTGGGGGCCCCGCGCCCTGGTGGGCAGGGGGCCGCCCCCTTCCTTCCCCTTCCTTCCCCTTCCATCCCCCCCTCCTCACCCGTCGTCGTCGTCGTCGCCGCCGCCGCCGCCGTCTGCGTCGTCTTTGCCCCGCCGCCGCCGTCGTCGCCGTTGTTGTCTTCGTCGTCGCGCGGCGGCCCCTTGCCCTCCCTGGGCTCGCGGCCCCCCCGCGGGGGCGGCATTTAACGAATCGGTCATGAGAACGCTTAGGGTGGCGCATTTTCAATCCCAAGCTCTCTGCCGACGCACTTTAGCCCTCTATCGTGTCACGGCTTCCGCCCTCGATCGCGTCGCGGACCCGGTGCGGCAAGGACAGATTCCAGGGCCACTGCAGATCTTCGGCTGTCTCTGAGGCCTGCTTGGGCGTTCAATGTCAGACTGCAGCGGTTCCGGCGCCCTGCCTTTTTTGGCCCGGATCACCGGAGGCGGCCGTTCAGGCTTCCACTGGACCTCCTCTCTCGCCCCCCTCCTCCTTTCCGCCCCCCTGCCCCCTTCCCCTTTCTTTTCAATTGCGCGCCAGCCCGTCCAGGCCGGTTGGGCGGCGCATCCGGGTGCGCGACGCTCGTCAAGGGCGACCCCCTCCCTTCCCTTCCTGGCCCTCCGCCCTCCCCCGCTTGTTGTTCAGCGTTCCTCCCCGATGTCGGCGCACAGATTCGGTGCATTTCTAGCTTGCATGTTGTTTTTTGATTATTTTCTGGGTGGCGCTGCGCCGGAGGGTGCTCTATTTTCGCGCGCACGCCATCGGCTCGCTGGCCAGTCGCGTCCGCGCGGGCGGCGCCGGCGTTCCGCCAAGCGCGCTTGCCGGGCGCCTCGCCCCGTCTTTCCCGGCTTGCTGCGGTTGGCCTCCGCGCGGGCTCGCGCTGCTGCCCCATCTGGGTCGGTGTTGCCCTTCTTTTTCTCCCCCCCCCCTCCCTCCCCTCCTTTCCTGCCGCTCCCACTGGGTGTCCCACATTCCGTTTCATGTCGAATTCCTTGATCGCGGCCGACCGCTTATGGTTTGGCCCCTCTGCTTCCGCAGGAGGCGTTGTGCAGGTAGTATCGGCAACACCCCAACATACTTATACTATATGTGCGTCGCCCCCCCAGGGGCGACGCGCGCACCGAGAAATCTTCTAGTATATGCGTCGTGGCGGGCGCTTTCTGGCCACACCGCTCGGGAAACGATATACTACAAGATGGGTATACTATATGTCTGGGTCGGACGCGCGCCTCCAAGGATAACATGTAGTACTAGTACGTTTTTGTGCATCCCATAGTATGTTCTGCTTCGTCCGCTTCCGCCTTGGTCGCCCTCTTCTCATCGGCTTTTTGTCCGCGATGGGAAAGTGCGCGGGCGCCGCTGGCGAGGCCCCGCGAGCGCACGCGCGCGCGGGACTCCGCGCTTCGCTCGCCGCTTCTGTCCGCGAGGGACATGGCGCGAGCGCCGCCGGCAAGGCCCGGTGAGCGCACGCACGCGCGGGACTCCGCTTTTCGTTCTTGTTTCGTCGCTGTCTCACAATCATCTTTAGGCGCCTGAAGTCCCTGTTTCGTCGCTTTCGTTCTTGTTTCGCGCGTCGCACGCACGCGCGGGACTCCGCTTTTCGTTCTTGTTTCGTCGCTGTCTCACAATCATCTTTAGGCGCCTGAAGTCCCTGTTCCGTCACGTTCGTTCCGTTCGGTGTCTGAAGTTAGGCGCATATCGCGCTCATCCGTTTCACTTCGTCGGGCCGGGTGCAGAGCAGAGCCCAGGTCTCTGAGTGGCTTTCGCAATGGAAAGAATAGTGCGACGGTTCTTGTAGAAGGGCAATAAACCAAACCATAGCTCCAAAGGGAAATTTGCGGTAGCGTACACCCACGGCGCTCAATGAGAATGTTGTTTTTTCGTTTCAGCCCCTGCGGCCACGTTCAGCGCGCCAGGGGCTGCCACTTTATTACGGCCCAAGTTGTTTTTTTAATCGTCGGCGCCCTTCCAAAACCGCCGCGGAGGCTTTTTGATTCGCTTGTTGTCAGTGACAAGCGGGGCCCCACATGCACCCCCAAAATCAAAATTATCCCGGCGCGACCCTACCTAGGAGTTGGAACCCTTAGGAAAGCAGCATTAGTAGTAACAGCAACGCTAAGCTAAAGATAAGCTAAAGTTAAGCTTAAGCTAAGCTTAAGCTAAGCTTAAGCTAAGCTGAAGCTAAGCTAAAGCTAAGCTGAAGCTAAGCTAAAGCTGAGCAACAGCTAAGCTCAAGCTAAGCTAAAGCTAAGCTAAAGTTAAGCTAAACGCTGAGCGAAAAGCCAAGCGAAACGCTAAGCTAAAGCTAAGCTAAAGCTAAAGCTAAAGCTAAAGTAAGAACCCTTCTAGGCAGAGCCTAGGTAGGGAATCACATCGTTTCCATGCGTTTTTGTTCATTCGCAATTGCGTCGGACTTCATGGCGCGCGCGGCCCCCCTTGGCAATTTGCGCCAATCTCTGGATTGCCTGCGTTGGTTTTCGTTTAAATGCGATGGCGATTGGTTGCGCCAAGGCGCGCCCCAGGACGCCGCGCGGCGGCGTCGACCTTTGGCGCGCTGCGGTTTTTGCTTTTTCGCGATTGCGCGTGGCTGCGCCAGTGCGCGCCCGAGGGCGCCAGGCGACGGCGCCGACCTCTGCTTTGCGTGATGTTTTTTCTCCCCCAACCATCCTGTGGTGTTGGGTCCTCGTTTTGAAGAGACGGTGCCCCGCGTCTCCTCCCGCTGCCCCCTCCCCCCCCCCCCCTCCCTCCCCCCTGCGTTTCACCCACCCAGTGCAGCGCTTCGTGGCCCCATAGGGAGCTCCACCGAAGGCCCCAGTGGCAGGGTTCGCATGGCGGCCCCGCGCCATTTTGGCGCACCCCTCACGCGGTTCGTGGCCCCATAGGGAGCTTCACCGAAGGCCCCAGTGGCAGGGTTCGCATGGCGGCCCCGCGCCAGTTTGGTGCACCCCTCACACGGTTCGTGGCCCCATGAGGAATTCTCTTTGCTTCGTCCCACCTGCCCTGCGGTTTTCACATTGCGCATGGTTGGGTCCGTCGCCTGGATAATGCTTATTTGCGATTACGAGTGGCTGCGCCGGGGCGTGCCCCAGGACGCTAGGCGGCGGCGCCGGCCTCTGGCGCGCGCTGCCCCAGTGCCCGCCGCCAGGCGGGCGGCTGCTCCAGTGGGCTCCGCAGGGCACCAGGCGGCGGCGCCGACCTCGGCGGCGGGCCGCGCGGGGAAGCCTGGCGGCCGCGCCCCCCCTGGCTCGCTGGCGCTGGTTTTTGATTATTTGCGATTGTGTTTGCCTCCCCCACGGCACCGTCCAAGGACGCCTGTCGGCCGCGCGCCCCCCCTGGCTCGCTGGCGCTGGTTCCCGATTGTTTGCGATTGTGTTTCGCTTTTCCAGTGCCCGCCCAAAGACGCTTGGCGGCCGCGACCCCGCTGGCTTGCTGCTGCTGGTTTCTGATTATTTGCGATTGTGCTTGCCCCCCCAGGCCCCGTCCAAGGACGGCTGGCGGCCGCGCGCCCCCCTGGCTCCTTGGCGCCGGTTCCGGAATAATTGCGATTGTGCTTCGCCGTTCGAGAGCCCGCCCAAAGACACCTGGCGGCCGCGCCACCCCTGGCTGGTTTCTGATTATTCGCGAGCGCGATTGCCCCCCCCCCCCCCGCCCCAAGGTCCCGCCCAAGGACGCCTGGCGGCCGCGCGCCCCCCCCTTGGCTCGTTGGCGCTGGTTTGCGATTATTTGCGATTGTGGGCCCGCGCAAGGAAGCCTGGCTGCCGCGACCCCCCTGGCTCGCTGGCGCTGGTTTTTGATTATTTGCGATTGTGCTTGCCCCCCCTCCCCAGGCCCCGCCCAAGGACGCCTGGCGGCCGCGCGCCCCTCCTGGCTCGTTGGCGCCGGTTTCTGATTATTTGCGATTGTGGGCCCGCGCAACGAAGTTCTGATTATTTGCGATTGTGCTTCCCCTTGCAGGTCCCGCCCAAGGGCGCCTGGCGGCCGCGCACCCTTCCCTGGCTCGTTGGCGCTGGTTGCTGATTACTTGCGATTGTGGGCACGCCAAAGGAAGCCTGGCGGCCGCGACCCCCCTGGCGCGCTGGCGCTGGTTTCTGATCAATTGGGAGCGTGCTTGCGGCCTCCCCCCCCCCAGGTCCCGCCCAAGGGCGCTTGGCGGCTGCGCGCCCCTTCCCCTGGCTCGTTGGCGCTGGTTTCTGATGATTTGCGATTGTGGGCCCGCGCAAGGAAGCCTGGCGGCCGCGACCCCCCTGGCTCGCTGGCGCTGGTTTCTGATTATTTGCGATTGTGCTTGCCCCCCCCCCCTTCCCAGGTCCCGCCCAAGGACGCCTGGCGGCCGCGCGCCCCCCGCTGGCTCGTTGGCGCTGGTTTCTGGTTATTTGCGATTGTGGGCCCGTGCGAGGAAGCCTGGCGGCCGCGACCCCCCTGGCTCGCTGGCGTTGGTTTCTGCTGATTTGCGATTATGTTTGTCCCCGCCCAGGTCCCGCCCAAGGACGCCTGGC